ATTACGTATGAACACAAAAATGTTGATTTCTTATCTTAAACGCGGAGATGTTTTCGAAATGAATATAATTCAATACGACTCGTCGTAGTTCAAAAAGTGCATATACTTCCTATCTTTATTTACATGTACACACCGCTTAAAAAAAAGTTGCATAAAATAAATCACGTAAAATAGCGCCAAAGGCGCATAAAAAACGCAACGTAAAAATGGGTTCAGTTATACGTAGAATAACACGTTAACGCTCTCTGGCTATCTGCTGAAGAAGCAGATACCCAGAAAAATCAGATTTTCTCAATGCATATGCTAATTAGCTTTGAATGTATTTCGATCGAAGAAGGAAGAGAAAGAAAAGAACAGAAAAATTCTCCTCTATTCACCGTCTTGCCATTGTTCAAGTCAAAAGACACACGTTTTTATTTATTATATTTATTAAGCATTCAGTTGGCACGACATGACAAATAGTTGTATAGCTGCACGCATGAGTGGTTATGGACATCGTAAAACTTCTTTATGTTTTGGAAGCAAGATTTAAGTGTTATTTTCTTGTCTTTGGTATAGATAAGTTGAGAGAATCTTGTTCCTTTAAAGGATGGCATTTGCACATAAAACATCTTTTTTTTATTATTATTTTACTACGTTATCAGCATAATATTATCTGCATTATTTGTAACTTAATTTGTTAGCTCTATTCCAAGAATGGTAATGGCAATCATATATAATCTGAGTAATATATAAATAGAAACATTTCTACGTCAAAATTTCTTTACTCTTACTATTATCAGTAAAGTTAGTTTTCACATGATTGGCATACGACGAATATAAAACAATTTTACATCTTATTTGCGTTCTAAAGATCGTTATTTCAAGTTTGCTAACGTTTCACAGCACTTTATATGAATTGACAAATCATATGGTTTTGCATGTGTACATACACAGGAAACAAAAAAAAAAAAAAAGCACGGAGAAGTGATGGCCGTTTCTTTTAGATTTTAAAGTTATTTATCTAATTCAAGTTTATCCTACGAGAATTTACATTTTTTTTTATATTACGTGACTTGCAATTTAGGATTACACCGTGCATTATTTTGGTAGAAATCAAAAATAGGTAATAAAGACCATTTATTTTTAAGTTGAAATGTATTAATCGAATGGTTTTATTAGAGAGTGGATTTATGGTAATTCCAAAAATCAAATAATGGAGCAATTAGTACAAAAACATTCTTTCGACGGTGTAATAAAATTTAAGCATAGGTAATCATGTAAGAAAAATTTAACTTTCAACTGAATACCAAAGCGAAAATTAACTTTCGGCTACGTTGTTATCCTCCAATTAGAGATTTAAAACAATATGGTAGTGCGGCAGTCCATTTTGTTTATCACTTTTTTAACGGGCGCTTTTAACCCGAAAAGGAAAACGATGCCCCATTGTGTCAGCCCCCTTAGCAGTTTCCGTAAAAACTAGAAAACGTTTAGAAAATCTCAGATATAGAAAATATTGGAATGGTCAATGTAAACACAATGACTATGAGCGCGATCTCATCGCGTGTACGCGTTTAATGGTCAAGTAAACTCAGCATATGAATTTTTAAAAAAATACTCTTTTTGTTTGCTAAATATACAAAAACACGTGCAAAGTTGGTTCACATATTAGAAACACCGCCTTCTTGGCTTTGATATCTCGCCGCATGACATTTTATTAATGTAGAGAGTCTCTTCTAGGAGCCTAGAGCCTCTTTTAGGTTCAATTATTTCTCACTGTCATCGCGGTGTTTTAAAAGGTGGATCAACTTCTACTAACCTTTTCGAGTTTTGTAGTACAATTTATAAAGCATTTTCCGAGCACAATCAAACCGATCTTCACGGGCTTTTCAAAATCTTTTGACAGAATGGATCATGGATTGTGAATCTATAAATTGCATCGCCTTGGCTTTTTAAACAGTATGATTGCCTGGTTTAGTGGCAATCTCCCTGGTCGCACGCAACGAGTGTTGTTGAATTCTTCCCAATCTAGAGTAATTACCGTCACTTCTAGTATTCCCCATGGCAATCGTCATAGCCCGCTGTTGCTTATAATGACCTTCCTAAGTGCATTGAACATTCGCGTGTACTATTGTTTGCAGACGATGTTAAACTTTCCCTCTCCTTTGGCACAATACATGGTCCTAAATTTCCTCAGTCCGCTCTTCTAAACGTGCGTACATGGTGTGCAATTAAGGGTCTGGTATTGAATTCGAAAGAAATGTAAGCAAATGTCATTTGCGAGATATAATAAGTTGCCCTGCTATAATAGTGTTGATAATCACGTACTGGAAAATGTCTGTAATTATTTATATTGAAATTTTAGTTAGAAAAGCTTTTCGACATATAAAACTCTTCAGGGATTTATAAAAAGATGGTCTAAAGAATTCAATAGCCCATAGGTTTCCAAGTGTTTGTATACATCTTTAATTAGACCAACTCTTGAATGCCCATCAGTAGTTCCGTTTCCTAGTTGCAGATGCCGTATTGATCTTCTAGAGTCTTCGTGTTATTTGCTTTGCGTAGTTGGGATAGGATCTTTACCTACTTCTTGCACCGTACAATAACAGATTGAAGCTTAATTGAAGCTGATGAATTGCAAATTGAGATTGAGAGTAAGCCTTTTTGTTATCTGTGATTCAGATAGCTTGGGCAGTGCACTAAATGTGGCAATGCCCCTATAATTGTCAATAAGTTTTCGAGATCAACTTTTATAAAGACATAAAATAAAACTGCTCTTCCAAACCGTTGTGAAGTAATCTTTTTTCAATCGATTCCTTGGGAGTACTGAGCGGTAGTCGCGATGTGAAGATGGATTTTTATGTAGATGTCACTACGAGTTGATGGACATCCAAATCAGCAACAGGAGTCTCCTCCGATGAGATTGATTGCCAACGGTCAATCCGTAGTGATTTATTAACTCATTGGCACCTAAGGCGGATAAAAATCAGTATCAACTTCCTGAGATTGATTGCTGTTGATACCAGCCGATTTCACCCGATTCAGCTACGCCGATTCAGCTATCCCGATTTGACCAGTCTGCCTGCAGCTAATTTATTACTTTCAGCTTCAAGGTTGTTATCCTTCGTAGCTGCTCGCTTCATGGACTAAGCTGCTGGTGTTGGCAAAGACCCGGAACCAGCTGCAGAACCAGCGACAACCCCAGCTGCCGGGCGAAGTGAATAAGCTATATTTAAAGACTCATCATATGTGGGACGAACATATATAAACAAAGCCTCCGTCGCCACATCTGATATCTCCATGACCGATTTAGTGTTATCAAACGCAAAAGACTCATCGCAACAGTAATGAAAGAAGATTTATATCTTCCAATGTGCAGCCTTGACATGATCATGACAAACCTTTTGCTTTGTCCATAATCATATAACCCGGCCACCAAAATCAGCACATTTATGGTGCGTTGGGCTGTTACAATATTGACATAAGACAATCCTTTCATTCCGATCTTTTATTTTGTAGCTAGGATCTATGCAATACATGTTAACACACCCAGGTCCGATGTCGTTGAAAATGTAAGTTGTTACCAAAGTTTCACTATTCGTGTGTTTCTGATGATGAGAAATGCGTATTTCCCAACTGACACCGTCTACTGCACGAGTGCCTATTAGACCCTGATAACTGCTGTTATTAAATTTAATGTAATATCTGTTGCCTTTGAATTCCAGTTTGTTAAAAACTTCATAAGCAAAAAATGTTTCAATTCCACGAATTCTTCCTAGAAGATATTAGTGTTGAAAATTTCATGCACGAAATTACCCAGCTGATGTTAACTAAAACAAAGGTATGGAAGCACCCTTCAATATTTAGAAAGCCGAAATGCTATCAAACAGTTTTAATTTTACTAATTATCGCAGTTATTATAAAAATTCAGACACTTGTCTTTAGTTCTTTCTGACAGTTTTCCGATTAAGTACAAATTTAATTGTAAAAGTGCTACATAATACATCTCAGGTTGCAAACATTTGCACTAACTTAATATATATAAATGATGTAGGGTATAAAAATTCTAAAAGTATTATGGAAAGTATGGCAGTATGGAAAATAAAAAGGAAATTCTTTATGCGAGACGTAAGCAAAATTCTTAGGCAGACAAGAAAATTTCTAAAAACAACATGGAAATTGTTATATACGTTATAATATGTAAGACATAATTTATATTTGTTGGCTGGATTTATTTATTATAAAACACGTACGTACACATACGGTCAACGCAAACTGCGGAAAGAAAATTTAAAAATTCGTTATCAATAAATTACGATATTAGCGATATATTTATGCTTTTACATCTCGTTTACGATGAAAATGAAAATTAACAATCGTTTTCGTTTGCTTCATGTATAGCTTTCGTTACCGCTTTCGTTGTTATTATTGATGCTGAACAGAAAAGCATAAAAAGAAGAAAATTTGTAGTTATATTTATTTGTGGCTATCAAAATCCGACAAATACCAGATACCTTTCTTAGATTAAGTAAATTCGAAAGTGCGTAAATATATTAAAGTTTTAGTATAAAGAAAGGGATTTATAAAGTTTTCTAAAGATTTTAGATTAAATTAATATTACAATATGTATACCTACACCTACTATGGAAAGCGACACCGAAAAAAGGAGCAATAAATACAAATAAACCGCAAGGTGAAGAAAATTGTATACTAAAAACGCCTTACGTTGTTCTTTCTGCTGTACATGCAAACATTCTTATTGATAACGTTTTACGCCGCTTCTTTTGTGGAACCAATTATCCAATAAATTTGTATTTTATTACCCGAACATAAAGTGCATACTTTGCATAATATTAATAACTATGAATTTAGTTCATTTTTAAACGATAAGGGTACCTTGATTAACAAAACACGCATAATAAATGCATATTAAAACATTACAAATTATTTAACTTTCGTTCATTTAAAAACTTGGAAATTACTCATTAAGACAAGGCACTCAAAGGATATCTTTATGCTTTTTGTTAATCCGTCATAATACACGAAAAATTACACATTACTTCTACTCAGGCATACTTTTCATAAACATTCTCGTATTAGACAATGCTGGGTTTTCGTGAGAGCACATATATGTGACTGGGTCTAGCTAATAGGTCTGTGTGATCCAAAATCCCTATCGTTCATTTATGTGCCACGTTGCTACTATGGACCAATCTTAATCATAAAATTGCAAAACTCAAAGCTGTTTGCTAAAGGAATTACTATTTATATGAATCTTTATATGGAATGGCGTCCAAAAAAGAGACTAATGTTAAAAATAAGCTTTTAGCCTTTCATTGGAATCCTTATATAATATAGAATCCAAAAAATATGCCTACATGATCCGAATTCGACGAGGTTAGTTTCTATGTCGAACAGTTATTACGGACCCATTTTCAACATGAGTTATCGAAATATTTAATATAGTTTTCCCACACAAAGATTTATTTTTCGCATTTTTCGGTTATATGGTAAGGCGTTCAAAAAATGTCTCCATCTCATTCGAATTTTCAAAGCAATTTCGAATCTAGAAACAGTATCACTCCAAACACACAATTTCTTCAAATTAAGGTATTACATGGAGAATGGTTGAAAAAGCGGGCTGATCCGAACGGTTCTCAGTGGGGTTCGTCCTTGGGGCAAGACACGTCCAAGCACCAAATTTCTTTAGAATATCGCGAAGGTCGTCATGTGTTGAGTGAATTCAAACGGCCGGACAGATAGACAGGCAAAGCAATTCTGGATCGATATGTGCTCAAATAATTTCGCATAAAAAGCTGCTATTTATGCTAAAAGAAGATGGAAATATCACCTTAGTGCAGACATATGAGATAGAAGGAGGTAATATTCTCATTAATGTTATTAGCATTCTGCTTTATTCCAATTAACATAGTCTAATTTAGGTTAAATTGAATGTATTCAAGGGCATAACCTTATTTTTCATATTCGTGACTAAGCTGTCTATGCTGACAGGTTCAACATTTTTTAGACTTGTAACTTAACTTAGATATCGTCTAATTTTTTAAAATAAATTGGTTTTTGTTGCTCAAAAAATTTCTGTGTCCATATTGTTGTCTCCTTTCACTACTCTTTTTTTTGCCAAACAATTATTCTCTCTGTTATGGTTTGAAAACATTAGTGAAATACTCTTACTCTTTTTCAATTCTGTTTTGATGTGCATATTCGTTGTCAACATTGTATCGTTCTTAATATAATTTTCAGATTTATTTCAATTTTTCTTAAAATTTCCGGCTTTCTCGAAGACTCACTTATGCAAAATACACCTTAAATATTTTTATTGTTTTATTAAATTGTTTTTTAATTAAGCTCATCCGGAAATTATCAAATGTTAAATAGAACGTTAAACAACGCACACAGCTAATAAAAACTAAACAGGTATATTGCAAAGAGAATGAGCAGAAATATTCTCTCAAACATTCTCTGTTTATATGTTGCCATTAACAGTAAAGAGAGTTGTCATGAACAGTTAAAACATTTTATATTATACATATATATTTACATACATATACCCATATGAACCCACTTTTAAAGAGAGATATTTAAGTCAAAAGATACTCATCAATCTTCAGTTCTGTCTCTTAATAATTAGAAAAAAGTTATGAAGCTCTTAAATGCATTGGTCTCTCAAAAAATTAAAGCAATAAGCAGCTGAGGAAACAGTTAGTTAATAGTAAAAAGCATGTTTATGTAAACGAAACATTATTATAGTTAAAAGTAAAAGAAAATAAATAAAATAATATGTTCCGTGCACTTAGAAGTGTTTTATGTACTAAATCGAAATATTCAGTGTTTTTAAACGAAACACCTGGATGGAGGATCGGGAGGAACCTACACAGCAGTCAAAGCAGAACAGCAAAAATATTTAAAGATCATGAAAATATTTATGCTCATCAAGTGTTGGAACAATCTGCAAATCCTTATCAGTTATTTTCTTTGCATAAACAAGAACACTTCGCATATACGGATTTAGATGAATCCATATTAAGTTTAAAGAGTGATGAGAAAATTAATAAGGATGAATTAAAAATTTTATTTGAAAACTTTAAAGCTGTGGCATTTTATTGTAAAGCCACAAACTCCACAATATCAGAGCAACGTTTCAATGCATTTAGAAATCGTTATTGCGAGGGTGTATCGTTGCTTAGCGATGAACAATTGTTGGAATCATTGAGATTACTGCTAGTACTGCCAAAAGAAGAGTCGGTTAGAGCTGATAATTTCATAGAGCTTTGGAATGCTCTGGATGTTGAATGTTGCCGACGTATTGAAAATTGGGATACTAATGAATTATTGTTGGTTTGCGATGCCTGGTATAAACTGGATTTGGCTCGTATTTGCGATTTTGTAAAAGAAGCCCTTCGAAAAATGGGACGAAAAGTTCGAAAAATGACAGCTAGTCAACTGGTCCAAACTATGTTTTTATGTAATGTAATGCGTTGCTCTTTATATGAAATGATGGATTTTGAGGTAAATTTAGCTCATTATGTTCAAAATATGTCTCTAGACGAGTTGGGTGTAATGTCAATGGGATTCTTTAAAACGCAAACTCGCTTAAGGAATCCTGAACTATTAGACAACTTGTACAAAAGGTTAATAAATGAACTGGATACAGCGAAAGATATAACATTGGTAGCCATATTAAAGGTAATAAAAAGATCGTATAACAAACTCGACTCGATTGTTATATTAAAAGCAATACTTTCCGTTTTTATAGATTTTGCGTTATAGTTCGAAAATACCTCAAGTCGATAAAATGAAAGAGTTATTGGATAAAATGTCTCAAGAGAAATTAGAAGCAATGTCCTTATTGACCTGCCTACATGTGGCTTTGTTTGGGTGTGAATTGCAATTCTGTCATAACAAAATTGTCGAGTATGTATTAATGCGTTTCGAGCGAGAGTTGGAACAAACGCGTCTAAAGGATTTGGAACGTATTTGCCTAGTTATGGGTCTTTTTAACATGAAAACGTCTACAGGCATTGAAAAAACTCTCTGTGCGCGTGTTCTTCATATGTTAAACAATCGAATTGATGAAATCCTTAAATATCCAAACTGTTTTCTCAATTGCTTGCATTACCTCACGCTTTGCGGTTTTTATAATCAAGAGATGTTGGCTGCTGCTTTAGATGAAAAATTTTTGAAGCATGCTTGTGGCTCGAATTTGGTCATGAACAGAAACGTTTTTCATCTCGACACTTTTGTAAAAGTGAATTTAAAAGATAAAAATTACTTGGGACCTCAACTAGCCGACAAATATCGTAAGACAATGGGTAAAATGTTAACATATTACATACCTGAGCGTAATTCAAAGTACAAACTTAGCGCTACCGACCATATATTATTGGAAATTAAGGATATTATAAGTACTTTGCTACCTCATAATACATTGAAGCATATACTACCCAACTATGCACGTCCAGATATAGTAATTTGTTACGATAGTCAGCAACGCACATCGTTACCATTATCTAACATTTGCCCAGAAGACTATAGCGGTAAGTGAATTGTTTTTCAAAAAATTTCAATATTCATCGCTAAAGAATGGGCTTATAATAAATAGATTTGCTACACCTGTTTTGACATCCAGAAGCTATATATGCCCTTGATGGCCATAAGTTTTTGGATCTCGAATTTAAAAGTGCCAGTCCGTTTGTTTACTCTTGTAAAACGCTGTAATTTAATATACGATTCTCAAAAGAAAGAAAGAAGAGAAGAAGAGAGATAGAGGGGCATGATCTCTATTTAAACTTGCCTATAATAGCTGAAAAAATGCTGTCGAAAATATGCAAGGTATCGTAGACATTGATCTAAAACTTGCTAAAAGTATTTTATAACGATAACCTAATAATTTGACGCGAAAACGTTTCGAATTGACCAATCGACGCATTCACTGCCATGGGAAAACCTTTTAAACGATTGAAGTGGCGAATATTTAACGTTCGTCTGAAAGCGAATATTATTATTATTATTTTCTTTTTTTTTTGGTTTATCGCTTATCAATTTTCTTTTGTTAATAACAAATTTAGGTGTTATATTAACGCCTAAACACGTGTTAAGTGAATTAGATACAGGAAACTATAAGACTGTTGCCGTAGTGATAGCCGGCTGGAACACTGTTATTAGAAATACTGATAATTATACGGGACTTTTTAGTATGAAGTTACAACAATTAAAATTGCTCGGCTACAAACATATTGTGGTAAGTTCAAACAATAATGCAATAAGAAACTTAATACAATAAACAATTTTTATCGCTATGATTTCATACGATAATCGCAAGCATTATATCATTAAAAGTTCAAATGTTATTTGAAAATTTTAATCATATATATGATCCTTATTTTAGATAAATTGGTATGAATGGCGTGAATTGGAGACTTATAAAGATCGCGTCGACTTTATCAAAAGACGTCTATCAAGGATTATTAATCTTTAGTCTTACAATAATAACAATTTTGTTAACAATAATGATTGCTGTCGTACAAATAAAGCATTATAAAGTGAAATATTTAATATCACATTTTACATTACTATCTATGTACAAGGTAAAAAAAATATTGAAAAAATTAAAAATTCAAAATGTGCATTTAAATTGATTATAATAATAGACCGTTTATGGCTTTTTTAGTATATTCATAAACCAAAAATAATGTAGCTGTCGCAGGTATCGTTCTTAATACGGACGGTAATAAACCGTTATATAAGGCTAATATACCTTCGGTTCGAAAAATTTCTAAGCCCACCGAAGTCATTGAACGTTTCAAATTATTGATTTGTATGCGAGATTTGATAACATCAGCTGGAAAAATACTCGTCCAAAGTGTGACACCACCAACAGCTCCGGCAAACATAGTCTTTAACGCCCCAATATCATCCTTACTTTGACCTGGTCTATAACGAAAAAATAACAAAAACAAAGAAAGTGAGTGAAAAAGAAATGAAAAATAAAAAGTTCAGCACAGCTTCATATTTCAATCGAGATTTAATTAAATAACTTTCATTTTACAAATTCAGAAATAATTTTCGCAAGAGCTAATAAAAGATATTTTCATACTCGCAGACACCAGAAATAATTTTAACAATCGAAACTGTAGCAAGTTTTCCATATTTAGAGTAACGTCCATGGCAAATTGTGTATTTCAACGATAAGAAGGCCTATTTAAATAATGAGAAATTGACCGTATGTTGCAATCGCTGAAAACAATTTGAATTAAAGCGTACATTAGGATTTTGTAAATTTGCATCATTTATTCTTTTTCCAGCAGATAACGATAATCGATCCTATTGAATCCTATTATTGAATGCTTGAACGTCTTCAAGCGAACGGCCGTTGCAAATTATTATAGAAATTCAAGTTTCGATTTCCAATTTGATTGCTAGTTTATATCAATCGTAGAAATTCTTATGGTTATCCTTCACATTTAAATATATAATTGGGATTAGCTTGGTTTTATTATTATTATTTTTTTTTTCATGCAACTCTATATTCTTGGGCTTAGCTGTTTAAATCACCGCACAGACTATATTACAACCATATACGTACAGGTTATTGTCTACGATAGTTGTCGATCATGAAAACGATAACATCTACATTGCTTTAAGAGTAGATCAAAATTCTTCAGATGACTATCGGAATTTATCCAAAAGTCGACAAATAGTAAGAACAGAACAAGCTCACATGCAACTTTTAAATATCCTTCACCTGCTTACAGTTATTGGTATACCTTTTCAAAGCATGACATTATAGGGGGGGATGATAGAAAAAGTGGTCCGATTTAAACCACTCTCCGTAGTGTTCGTTCGTGGGCAGAATGTGCAGGTTGAACACAAGAAAATAAAACCGAGCGACAAATCTAAATCGATTCAAAAAGTGATTCTGAATCGATCGATGGGTCTCTCTCAAGTTTTTCTGCGTATTACAACAGTCAGCACAAACTCAAAATACCCTGCACCGCGCTAAGTTTGCCTGTCCATCTATGCATTCTTGTGTTCAATGTAGAGATCGTAATTTTTGATTAAATCTGGTACACCAAAGCGCCGTATGTGGTCCAATGAAAATGGTTTGAATTGGACCATTTCTTCGACCACTGCCCATATAAGGCGTTAACCTTATTTTGAGAGGTCGTTAAATAAAAAACAAAGCACTAAAGCCCCTACACCACTTAGGCCAGTATCGTTGTGCGTTCGTTTTGGTAATACGACACCAAAAATTACACATTATTTTCATGCAAAAACATATATATGATAAAAGTCCGCATATTGAAAAATGCGCAAAGCATCGTATGATGTGATCCGAACTTATCAAACTTAATTTTTTCCCCAAAAATTTGACTATTTTTCAATTTCAGTATCAATACTCGTAAAAGGATGTGTATATGCTAATCCAACTGTTTAATTGTCGACTGGGGGAACATATTTACGATAAATAAAAAGGTGGTTTTGTCAAGTAATAGTTCTTGGGAAGTATTTTCACGGGTTTTCAATTTAGAAATTGAAAAAAATTAAAGTGCAGTTCTAGCGCTAATATTTAATAATAAAATTTTTCTAAAAAAACTTTGAACTAAAAATAGAAAGCTTTTGAGGCTTATCGTGTGAAGAAAGAGACTTTTTTAGGAACATTTCATTGCACTAAGACTATAAGCTTAGTGCAAATTTTAGGCTTGCCCTTGCTTCTAGTAAAATGTTAATTCTTACAAGAGATTCTCTCACAGGATTTTCCACGCCTCGGCATAGATGCGAAAATCAAGAAATCTTTCGCACGAGCACTTTTTATAAAATCTCTTAGCTATATTTTAAATGAATACCATATGGAATTTACTTACTTGCGCATTAGTTCCCTTGTTCCCTCGTAACCGCCAAAGAAAAAAAAATAACCAGGCATTTCACGCATGAACGTAGAAGTAAGACCCCTAAAGAAGCCCGGTATACCTGTAATTGATATGAATAAAAATACAATTGCAAAAAACGGCACACCTTCTCTCGTTGAAAGCATATCAATAAAACATTTTTTCCCCACTAAAGTAATCTTATCATTGTATATAACTGATAAGAAATTATTAAACGTAAATAAGGAAATACCTTCAGTTTCCATAATTTGTTTTGTTAGTTTCCATGGTGTCATATTCGCTTCACCAATGCCAGTACCATTAATTTTACCAGCTTGTTGTTTCATCTTTTCATAAAAAAGTTTTTTTCATTAAATTGGATGATGGTATATGCCATTAATGCCATTAATGTTACCTCTCTTAACGCTTGCAGCTTACATTTTACTAACTCTGTTGGGCAGAGCGTAAACGTAGAAAAAAACGCCGCCAAGAAGCCAGCGAACGCATTACCCAAAATGGATAGATTCTTTGTATCTTCTACTTTCATAACATAGGCTACGGCTTTTTGACAACCACCATAGGCAGCAAATAGTACTGAGTTTTCAGCGACATTAGCTATAACAGCTGGTATGGATCCCGCATAGAGACCGCGGTATATACCATCTGTGCGATACGTTTTGATGAAGCAATCAAACATGTTTTTATAAAGCTGAGGAAAAGTTTGCTGCTTAACCTTCACAGTATCCAAAGGTTGCGAGACATAAACCTGTGCAGCACCGCCTAGAAACAAAACATGAATAATTTACAATAATTCAGTATATATGGGACTCATTGATAAAAATATTAATTTGTTTTAAGTCAAACGCTAAAACTTGGATTAGAGGGAAGATTATCGATACTGTTTGAATACTGTTGGAATATCAAAACATAAGGGAGACGAGGCGAAGAGCGAAACGAAACGAAGTTTCTTCGAAATTTCCTCGAAATCCTTCAATCCTTCCTTAGATTCTTTTCATTGAAGTGGAAGTTATTTTATTGAAGCTCTTTCATCCGTTGAAATCATCTCATTTCGCCACCGATCTTCTCTTAGATGCTTAGATATAGCAACAAAAAAAAAAAAAACTAAATAAAATATGTCCTCTAATTTATTATTCCTTTGACACTACTGATAATCCGGTCTCCCTTTGCCGCAATGTATCGCAAAGCGTCTCAATAGAACGTCATTTAACGTCAAGAGATGGCCACAGTAAGAAATCTGTGTCTTTACTATCAGAAAAGATCGGCAAATGCTATTTCCGAACCAATTGGAATATTGAGTCCAAAAAGAGGTATTCATCTTTTATCCAAATAGAAAATACGACACGCATAACGAATTCGAAGCATCAATGCCAATCCGTCCAGCTATGTTGTACCCACCTCTGTGTTCTTACTTTCACCCGGCACTTCATTAGTGAGCAAGGGAGCAATATCCTAAAATATATGAATCGGAATTTTTTTTTTTTCTTTTTTGAATAGTCTTTGCCTAGGAACGGGAAATGACTTTCTCTTTTTATTTGACTAAGCCGCAGAAATGTTTTCGCAAACGGTTGCGAATTCTTTTTTGTTTTTTTTCTTAAAGATTTAAACCCAAAATTTCTGCTGAATGGCATCTAGTCGCGTCTCTCTGTGCCTGCGTATTTTGAGAGATCGAAGATTCGAATTAATTAAAAAAGTGGATGCAATAATTCGAAACTTGATTGCTATAGGTCGAATTTAAAGAAAAACGTCACATCTTCCTTCAAATGAAATTTTAAAGGCAAACTTGAACTTGGGCCTATTAACGGCATTTAAGTTGAGCATTTATTCTCTAACTCTAGACGTTGTAAAGTTCACCAAGCTATTTATGTGCATAGTCACCATCGCTTCTAGAACATTTCGCGTTATAATGGCATTTAATTAAGTTTTAACGCTCTTTTGTCGTAACACGTGAGTCTGTCACGTCAACATGTGCATACAATTCCTAGTATAAAATGTGATGACAAACACGTTTTATTATTCTCATGCTTACCCAATGATCCCGCTGTAAAATCAATGATTCCTTGTGTTAGTTTATCTCTTGGTAAAAACGTTACATTTTCACTGCCTTTATTGTGATCTGTAAAACAAACGCAAAAAAAGAAAAAAAAAAAAATCAAAATATAAACATAGGCCTTAGAAAAGTTACATTTTCCCATAGATCGTAAGCGTAAACTTAGCGGTCACATTATCAAAGATGTTTTGTTTATCCATCAATTGTAAACATTTAGAGCAAAAAAAAACACGAAAAAAAAAAATAAAAAATAAATATAAAAAAACTCAATCATTTCATACCCAGCATGTTGTTCGTTCAATTCGTATTTTCCTTTAAATAGTTTTCGTCGTAGAGTTTTCGATGTCATTTAATTAATTGATAAAATTCTATTCACCTAACACGTTCGCGCTTCTTCAGCTCTAAAACTTTAATATGCTTTGCAATTCGGGAGCTTTTCAGCTGAGAATTTCAAATACAAAAACAATATTTAAAAACTTACGAGCTCTTCCTCTTTCCCAATTCCATATTTCCATATTTTTGTGCTCATTACACCGAATAATGCAAGTATACTATGCCTTTCCTTCAATTAGAATAAACATGCGCTATAGACTTTGACAAATGTAAATGAATAAATAAATATAAATGAAAAAATAAAAAATAAATAAATAATTAAACATTTCGTTTCGATTCTTAATTAATTTGCGCTTAATTCTAACGAGAAATGGCGAAGAGAAGCGAACCGTAATGTTCTATCTTTTTCTTCTTCTTCTTCGGGTAGTAGCTTTGCATAAAGATATATTTTCGATTGCTACGATTCGATTTAGAGGCATTTTGTCTGTTTACTGTTTACAAGAAAAACTAATACGCCCTAATCGCCGCAATATAGTTTAAACAGTTTCAAAGCTTCACGATATATATATATATCCGAGAGAAGAAAATATGGCATAAGCAATAGTAGCAAACGGTTTTTAAGTTTACATAAATAGATTGATCAAAGTCAGATGAAAATAGCGCATGAAAATGTTATATCGAATGCTTTTACTGCGCACTTGCTCGAGATAGGTAAAGGTATCTGTGATTCGTTTTATGGCGTACAATTGTTTTTTAATTGGTTCTGTTGTGATTACTCTCTTCTCTTGCTTCAATTTGTTTTTTTTTTTTCTGTTTTTGCTTTCACTATCAGCTGTCTTTCGGAAGCAAAACTATGCAATGCTCTCTCCGCAGAGTCAACATTTTTTTTGTTAAATTGCGTCATGCATTTATAGTCGAGCTTTTTAACCTCTCCGTGTCCGTCGCTCTCTTTGCGTTAGAGGTTTTTAATATGCATAACGTTTTTACGAAAAATGAATTAATAAAATTCAAGATCAAAAAAAAAAAAAAAATTACTTTGTTAATATTCCAACGGGTCCAGATTTTATTGATATGAAATTCGAAGTTTCTATTATATATATTGCACATTAACGCTGAAGAGACGTTAAAATTAATGGCGATTATCCGCGATTTTGCCCGTGACGTAGTCTCTGTTGAACATATTATATCACGCGTTTCCCGACCATACTAAAATATTTAACGATCAAGTGACTATAAATAATAATTGGCTTTGCTACGAAACAGATAAAATCGTTTTCAATAGGCAAAGAAATTGTAATCATTGATGACGTTTTAGTTTAACAGTCGAGAAAGCATTTAAAGTAAAATATGAAATAATTTACATAAGAAATGTTTTATATCTTTTGGATATATAAGGAAAAGGGATTGATTAGTGGGTTAATTGGAAATTACAAGCTTCGTGTTCATATATCGAGAAATATATACGTAGCGTTAAAAATGACAAAGAGTAATATTTCAATAAGTTATCGAAACGATGGAAATTAATTCAATCATCAAATAATGTTTGCGCTTAAGAAAACATCTCTGTGAAAAAATTAGTAATAAAGTAAAGTAGTAATCAAAGAGTTTGCCTCCATTTCAAATTTCGTTTTTTTTTTCCATTTCATGTGATCTACGCTTCATACGTGCTAATAGAGCGGATGTTATTGATATAGTGATAAATGCTTCTAATGAAACTACAGCATAAATAGTAATGTAGAAGGCATTTTTTAAGAGATCGATAATGGGCGGGCAAAACTAATGACTGTAATTGCTTACAACTAATGTGCGTGAAAAAGATTATGATGATAAGCGGAGGCGAGTTACGGATTATCGACATCAAAGGCAATCATTTTTGATTGACGGAATCTATCTCGTGTAGCTCTAACCATTGCCTTCACTCTACGCGGAATTTGTCTGAATTTCATACAGTGGATTTTAAGAGGGCCCAGTAAAAATCTAGGTTTACACCCAGAGCTCTTACAAGCATAATGCAATCAGAAAAGTTGTAAAAGATTATCGATCAAAATGACATATATTTGGTGCAATAACGTTCATTCACAATGTAAAAAAAAAAAAGAAGAGAAGTTCCAGGAAGCCTTTTTCTTGACACAATATGATAACATGCATGATTTGGATTGAATCTCTAACAAAGAAGGTTATGGTTGAGACTGACATCGACACATAACGATTCGTGAGATTGCAAACAAACTTAATACACCCAAAACAGCAAGTTTATTCCTTATATATATATATATAAAAAAAAAAAAAAACTATTTTATTTCATTTCGATGAAACGCAAAAAATTTGCTTCGCACAAGCATCCATCAGCCTTTAAATATCATATTAGTTTTTGATAAAGAGCTAATTATTTAATATGTTATAATGCAAAATGATCTTCGTGTCTGGTGTGGGAGGAGTTTATTGTTTCTTTTGAAAAAAAGAAAGCGAAATTTGCTGAGATTGTTTAGACGATTCGCGAGAAGCGTACCTAAGCAGATTCAGCAGGCGTTTGGCCAATTCATGGGGAACTCCAATAAAAGGTTTCAAGAGTTCCGTGATAGCGTTGACGAGAAATTACGAATGGAGGACTCACAAATTCGAAGAGAAGTTTAACTCACGCATTCACGACTTACAAGCGGCCATGAAAGTGATGGAAGATGGAAGAGCTAGTAGAAAAAAAAAAGCCAATCCAAACTAGGAACTTATCGTTTCAAACGTTCTTTTTCCTTTGGTTATTTGAACTTGTTTTCAGTTTTTACGTCTTTTAAAGCTAAAGATAACAGCTAAATCGAAACCTAAAACTTCATTGGGATGAAGATTTTTTAACATTTTCGGGCGATATAAAAAGTGTATGAGAATTACTAAAACCCAACAATTTATTTACATTGAAATTATTTAACTTTCTAGCGAAATTTAATATATGTATATGTGTGTGGACTTTCAAAATTAATGCGATTTCATATTAGATAGATAATAGTCGATAGAGTTGAAGCGTTCAAGCACTTCCATTAAAACACAAACTCAATATATATATATATATAATGACTTGCTGATTATTTTCGAATTTATAGGCTAATCAAAGGAAGAAAGGAAATCTTTACATTAAGAAATCACAAAAAAAAAAAAGGAGGAAAAAATTAAATGTTTCCCAATAGCTTAGGATCGATGAACACTATCTCTCTTTACATAGCTCTTGCTCTAAGCTAATGACCCTTAAGGAAAAAGGTCTACGTTGGTATGCCTGCTAAATCGGACAATAATTTCTTCGTATACTCATAAATCCAAAAAAGCGTCGCCGATGCCGGTACAGTGCGGATTATTGATGGCAACAGTCCGTTATATAGAGCTAAAAAACCCTCTTTCCGGATGATCTGCATACCAACCGCAATCATAGAGCCTTCTAAATTACCGACTTGAATGCGTGTTTTAATAACATCGGCAGGAAAAGTGAAAGTCCAAAGTGATACACCACCAATAGCACCAGCGCACATAGTTTTCAATGGGCCGATGTCGTCTTTTGTTTGCCCTGGCCTATCAATAATAATATTGAATTACAATAAAGAATTGATTTCGATTTTTTTATTTTGATTTTAATACTCTGCGAAAAGTGTTCTTGCTCCTTCATAACCACCAAAGAAGAAAAATAATCCAGGCATTTCTCTTACAAATGTTGTCCCTAAGCCTCGATACAGTCCTCTTATGCCTTTATAAACAAAAAAAAATAAATTATATATATGTGTATATATATTTTATTTATTTATTTTTTTTTTTAACCTTCAGTTTCTAAAATATCTTTAGTCACCATAAACGGATTGATCGTTGCGACCTTGCTATCTTTTGATACATAATGTTTCATCTATAATACGAATGAAATGATCGAAACGCTTAAGAGTTTTTAGTGTGAAAGCAAAGGGCATACCTCGTTTACAGCCTGCATTTTGCATTTAATTAACTCTGCGGGGCATAATATTAAGGCCGTAAAGAACGCGGCAATGAAACCCGATGTTGCATCTCCGAGAACGGACAGGCCGGCGCTATTCTCAATTTCGAATATATTAGCCACTAGACTTTGACAGCGACCATAAGCAGCGAAAAGCACCGAATTCTCAGCGATGCTAGCTACAGCTGCTGGCACCGTGCCAGCGTATAAACCTCTGATTATACCATCCGTCTGATATGTGTACTTAAGGCAACTAAACATATTCTTATAGAGTTTAGGAAACGTTTGCAATTTCACTTTGATCGTGTCAAATGGCTGAGATACATACACTTGCATCAAGCCGCCTAAATTATATACAAATTAAAATTTCATCGCACAACAGTGAACAAAAATAAATAAATAAACTCAAAATTTTATATTCGATTTCGACCAAATATTGTTCCCCATATCAATCATAATAGACGATTTTAAATATAATCTATCCATCTATACATGTTAGAAAGTAAGAGTTCTTCACGGACATGCGGGAAAATTTACAAATCTACATTTACCGCTAGTGTAAAAGGATTTTCAAGAACATTTTATATATTATACCCTAAGGAACCTTTAAAACAAATATTTGTTGACTGAGTGCAACTATAATTTCAGACATTTGATGATGAATATGAATGGATTATAATATATAGAAAACGCACCAATTGAACCCGCAGTGAAATCAATAACGCTCTCCTTGAAAGCGACATCGGCCGAAACAGCAGCCTGCTTCTCGGATTCATCAATAAAGACAAAGCCATCTTCGATCATTATGTCGTCACCTTCCCTATATTTTTCCGCTTCTAATTCTGGATTTGCAATAAAATATTTACGCAATTGCCATTTTAGGCTTTTGCCTTTTTTCGCGTCCGGATCTTTAATGAGAATGAAACCGTCGACCTCTTCGTCTTCATCATCCGGTTTTGGTAAAAGAAATTTTTTCCAATCAATCATTTTACGTCTTTTACGAGATAATTCTGGTTTCGGTTTCTCACGATTCGTTGGTGATTCTGCTCCATCTGTTTCATTCTCCGATCCATTCGGCATTTTTTCGTTTTCGTTTTCGTCTTCATCATCTTCATCTTCAATTGTTGGAGCATCGCCTACCGGTGAATCGCTTATTATAAAATTACTGCTCATTTTACGATTTTTCGCATCTGTATTAATAATATAATAATTTTTTTCATTTTTCTCAATCTGAGTTTCAATCTCATAATTAAGAGATTGCCGCATAAAACGTTTCGTCCAATCGATGATCGAACGCTTCCTATTTGATGTTTCTTGACTATCCGAGCTGTTGTCGTTGTCTTGATTACGATTTTTTGCGGGATCATTTTTATTTTTGGAGGTCATTTTGTTTTTGTTTTCTTAAAAATTTCTTTTATATATTTTAGTCGTCACTTATTACATTTTATTGTCCAATTGTAACCATCAAAATCAATTCCACAAAATAGAAACGACCAATAAAAAATTATTTCAAAAAATTCTTTCAACTTATTTTTATTATAATTTTCATTCGATGACGTTCGATCAATTGAATGGTTTGTAATAAAGTCGATAAAATATCATTGATTCCTTTCTTCCATCTTTTTTGCCCTTTGACCGCAATTTTCTTTTAAATTAAAAATAAATCTATAAATTTTTTCTTTATATAATGAAACGAATCGCAGCGCCCTTTATATCTAAACTATTAAACGAAACAACATGAACCATCTTAAGGGGGCAGGAAAAAGTTTTCCAAAATTATTGCTCTCAGTTTACTTCGAGTTTACTCGGATAGTTTTATCATCGCTAATAAAGTCAAGTTAAGAAATGCTTTTCTAACCCGTCTAAGCTCGTCGTTTTTTGCCCAAAGTTTTTTCCATTGAAAAAGCCGAAAAAATGAACTCAAGCACTTTTGACATCAATTATGCATAGAAATTTACAAATAGGTTTAAAATCCGCCATCAAATTATCTTATGGCTCTGCTGACTCAAAAAAACCCAACACCAAAAGTCACCGATTCAACAGAATCTTTTAATAGATAGCTTTCGCTTTCGTTATCGTTTATTTGGTAGAAAGTGTACTTAGGAGTGCGCTAAGCACATCAGGAACTCGTCTATGGGCGATATATAAGTTCTTGAAAACGTTGAACCGCCTGAGTGCCCGAGTAGGCCGAATTGATATCGACTAACAATTCAATTGTCGGCGTGAAGTTGAGTTTTTAATAAAGTCTAGAAGATAGCCTTAGATACTAAAGCTGTAAGACTTTAATATTAAAAATTATTTCTCTAGCCAAATTAATTATAACAACAATAATAACATGTAACATGTGGTATTTTAATACCTGACATTGTGCGAGTCGGCTCAGACACGTCACCGTCCATATTACCAGAAATTTATACTATGGAGCGCGTTGTCGTGTCTGTCACCAATTGAACCATCTTCTTCGTTGTATTTACCCTCGATTTTATTCGCGTAATACAAAACAATTAATCTGATACCAGATATGTCCCCGCAGTCTGCGGAATTACTCTCTCTTAGGGTGAAAACAACTTTTCTCCCACTCATAATCTTCTTCTTTATTACCCTCGAAATACGGGCGATGGTGAGTATCGGAGCGCATTCCAAGACAAGTATCACCGTCGGAGCAGAAATAAAGCTGATCCTCTCTTCCCCCTAATTAGATGCAGACGACGGTGATTGCGGAGGTAAAGACCAACAGGTATCACTGTCGGCATCAAAAAAAAAAGGTCCCTGTTCTCCTATGCTTAAAAGCAAGGCGGGGAGATCTCTACCTAAGACGAGTAAGCACCTTACCGTAGTAACGGTAAAGATTGTCTCGCGTATAATTATAGTGTAGGGTATCGATCGTTATAATAAAAGGTCTATCCAAAGCGCTTGCGCTTATTACTAACTTTACACATTCTGTACCATAAGCGGTGCAGGGTATAAAAACAATATATTAAGAAAATATTAAAAAATGGCAATACTGGAGGCATTCTCCTAGCATAAGCTCTCCTAAGGTGAATTTAAAAAAAAAAAAAATATTTAATATACTTTCTGTCATTTATGAAAATACTCTAGATTTTTGTGTATGTTTGTTGGAAATTTTGTACATCGACATACCGCAATTTTTTGAACCTTTCCTCATATAATCGTCCCTAAGAAAACTGAATCGTTATTTAGCAAACAGTTATAACTTTTAATATTTCATGGTGAAAGCTAGTTCACAATAGTAAATTGACGTAGATATCAATCTTACCGAATTTGGACCACTTAGGCATATTTATTTAGTATTACCGCATATAAGGATTTTTAGGAAATGAAAACCGTTACATGCCGGAAAGCTTAATTGTCAATCTTTTATGATGGAAATTTTGTTCATGAGAGAAATTTGACATAAAAATTATGTGGACCAAGATAAAGCAATATAGCGGGCCGTGTCCCACCATTAAATAACCTACACCACTTTGCTTAATACACTCATCCATATAACGATGTCTCAAAATAAGGTGTTGTATAGAATGTAGTCGAAAGAGCGGACCAATCCAAACCACCAAATTCTCAGTGGTGTTCGTCTGTGAGTCAAAACACGCCATTGTACCAAATTTGATCAAAATATCTTACAAATTGCAACCTGTAGCTTGAATGCAATGCTTACATGGACAGACATCAGATGGACAGACAGGCTTAGATCAATTCAGTTTATGATTCTGAATCGATCGGTATAATAAAAGGTGGGTCTATCTTAATCCCATCTGCGTGTTACATACGTCCGCCCTAAGCTAATATATAGTCGGCATCACAAATGGTGTAGGATATAATGATTGTTAGCCCGATTAGTTGGAAAGTGGCTGTAGAGGCTTTTTATAATCTATATTATATCAATCACATCTAGATCTTGATTTTATTTCTTATATTGTATGATTATAGTGCTTATGTTACGTATATCTGGATCTTTAAAGATACTTTATAGTCTTACTAGCGCAGCAATTATTAATTATAGCAATTGTTATTTGATGTATAATTGAAAAGTCATTAATAGCGTTTCAATATATCTGTCTATTAGGTTATTATAATAACTTTTGATTTTTATACAAGTACATGATTTTTGAACAATCGAATTGTGAAAGCTATGCTATCGAATTTTTTCACTTAAGATCATGTTTAGGCTTTATAACTAATGAGATAGCTGTTCGCAAAATTTTTTTTCAAATTTTTAAAAAGCCATCTTGAATATAAGTCAAAATGTATTTAGTATCAAGTTAACCGACCAAATAAATACCTCGTACTTGTGTTATCCGTTTAACATAATTTTAGGCGCCTTCGGTGACAACAAAAAACCAAGAAATGTTATCACTTCAATACTTACTGATATATCGTCAAACAATTTATTTATTATTTTTTGTTTCTCGCATAATTTATTATTATTTATAAAAAAAAAAAAAAAAAAGAAAGAAAAATAATTAATTCTAAATGCGTTCAAATACGAATTCCTTATACGTATGTAAGAATGTTGCTTATATACGATTTTTGAAAATAGTTTTTACTTCAATACTTTCAATTTAAAAAACTTAGACAATTCTTATATGTAAACGACAAATTTCTAAATGCTAAACAAAAGAAAAAAGGAAACAAAAAAAAAAAAGGGACCAATGAATTTTTAAACAAGAAAGAAATTTTATTGTATTCGGCTTGGATCATACCATTTGATAGTCATCACTATTCTAATTGATTACTTGTAGAAGTTCTCATAGCAATCTATTCTAATAAGAAACAAGAGAGATTTTATTGGAACTCCAACAAAGCATAGCGAGATTATTTCAAATAGTTATACCTATCAGAAAACTATGTACATGTATGGGTTTTTTGAGCGTATTTCGTTTACGATGCAACAACAACCTTATGCGCATTATGGTCAACGTTTGTGCGTTTGGTCTTCCACTCTCAATATATACGTATAGCTCACAATTTTCCCGTGTGTTACACGGGTAGCATCCAGAACAAGCACGATTATGTACCAAAGTGTTCATAGTACACAAATTATACATCATTTATTATGTGCATTGCAAACGAAGACGGAGCGGGGAGAAGAATCATGTCATTGAAAATGACAGTGAATTAGTCAGATAAGCGCCGTTCGAGCCTGATTGATTGATTGCAGCGCGAAAACAAATTTATATTTTGCTTACCCACCGATATTCAAATATTTTATATTGAATATTATAAAGCAGATATCAAAAGTGTCTATGTCCGATTCTATAAAAACAAAGAAAATAGTCGTTTACTTAGAATTTACCTTCGGAGACGAATTTAGGCGAAGAAATAAAAAAGAAGATGTATCAGGTATGCGCATATCGAGATCGGAAATTTTGTATAGAAAATAAACGCTCGCTATATATGAAACTGATCAGAAAATATATTTTATTCCAAATATTGGCCATCGCTAGCTATAAACTTCTCCACGCCAAGCCAGGTATTGCTTTTATAATGCAAGTCAGTCATCGAGTCGTTTCGGTATATTTTCGTAAGTATTGAAGCGTTGCTTAACAAGTACGTACGCGATTGATAAATGGCAAACAAATGCTAATCGAAAGCACACGGGCGTGATGAGTACCGTACTTATCAATCGAACATTTCCGATATATCGCGAGCGGGTTTTGCTGTACGAATGGACAAATCGATGGATGGATGGATTGATGTCATGTAAAAAAGCTGACCAGGTGTTGAGATTTCGCTCGTTTTTTCAACAGCGAAGGGTAGCATTCAATAATAATCCGTTCATCCGAATTTAATCGCTAATAGTAGAATGCATTCATCTGATCCAAAGAAATTCAGAAATATTATCTTACGTTTGGCATGACTTGCACTACCCATGAATTTGTACGCCTGATATTCCTGAAATATATTCACTTCCGATCCCCAATTACGATGCGATACAAAAAAAGCTCTCTTTTCGCAAAGAAATAATAAGAGCGATGAATACTCTTGGCACGGTACGAACCTCAACACTTTTATTGTTGGAAAAGGTATTTTTTGCGTCACGACATGTGTCTGCTACGATTGCTTATTGTTGCCAGATTTCCAAGCTACAAAAATAGTAAGAGCCCAACTTGAGGCATGTGTATTGTTTACACATGATGGCAATGGGAACATCTATGCCCAAATTTCAATTTCATATGTACATAGCTGGTATGATCCTAGGTAAAGGACGTTTCGGGTAAAGTGATTCGAAATGTTTCTACAATTAAAAGTCTTAACTGTTGAGGTACACTATTTTTAAGTAATGTTCAGTGTAGCAAATGTGGTCTTTAAAGCTCTTCCTCTCTTCGAATCGTTAGATAGAAAAGAGAGAAGAGAAAGAGAAATTT